CTGAGCGGCTCCGTCTCGGAGCCGCACACAGGAGGGGCTTCACGACTTCGTCGTTCGTTCGTTGTCGTGTAATCGTGGTCGCAGTCGCCGTCGTCGTCGTCGTCGTCGCCGCCGCCGCCGCCGCCGCCGCCGCCGCCGCCGCCGCCACCGCCACCGCCGTCGTCGTCGTCGTCGTCGTCGTCGTCGTCGTCGTCGTCGTCATCAGCGTCTTCGACGCCGCCCTCGGCCCCTCGGCGCGCGCCCAGCGCGAGCCCTCGACGAGGAGGCCCGCGGTTGTCTCGCGTGTTGCCTGGCAGCTCCTCCGGTTTCGCCCAGCAACTTTGCCCATTGTGTGTTCGTTTTTTCCCAACCATCCTGTGGTGTTGGGTCTTCGTTTTAAACAGACGGTCCCCGCGTCCCTCCTCCTCCTCCTCCTCCTTTTCCTCTTCTCCTCCTCCCCCTCCCTCCTCCCCCTCCTCCCTCCTCCCCGCGTTCCACCCACCCAGTACAGCGCTTCGTGGCCCCATATGGGGGCTATGGGGGCTCCACCGAAGGTCCCAGTGGCACCGCCCGCATGCGTCCGCCACCACCCAGCACAGCCTTTGCTACCTGCGTTTCACCCACCCAGTACAGCGCTTCGTGGCCCCATAGGGGGCTCCACCGAAGGTCCCACTGGCACCGCCCGCATGCGTCCGCCACCACCCAGCAAAGCCCTTGGTCCCTGCATTTCACCCACCCAGTACAGCGCTTCGTGGCCCCATAGGGGGCTCCACCGAAGGTCCCACTGGCACCGCCCGCATGCGTCCGCCACCACCCAGCGCAGCCCTTGCTCCATGCGTTTCACCCACCCAGTGCAGCGTTTCGTGGCCCCATGGGGAGCTCCACCGAAGGCCCCACGGGCACCGCCCGCATGCGTCCCGCACGCCCAGCACAGCGCTTCGTGGCCCGATAGGGAGCCCCACCGAAGGTCCCAGTGCTACCGTCCGCATGCGTCCCGCACACACAGTAAACCGTTTCGTGGCCCCTGAAGGGGGCTCCACCGAAACCCCCAGAGGGAACCCAGTACACGCTTCGTGGCCCCATAGGCAGCAAAGCCCCCACTGGGACCGTCCGCGTGCGCTCTGGAATCACAATTTGGCAATTTCCCACACCCAGTACAGCGCTTCGTGGCCCCATAGGGGAGCTCCATCGAAGCCCCCAGTGGGACCGCCCGCACGCGTCCCACAGAGCTAATTTGGCATTTTCCACCACCAAGTACAGCGTTTCGTGGCCCCATGGGGAGCTCCACCGAAGGCGCCAGTGGGACCGTCTGCTAGCGTCCCGAAACACCTAGTGTGGCATTTTCACCCACCCGGTGCAGCGCTTCGTGACCCCATAGAGACTTCCACAAAATGCCCCAGTGCCACCGCCCGCATGCGTCCCGAAAGCCCAATGTGGCATTTTGACACACCCAGCACAGCGCTTCGTGGCCCCATGAGGAGCTCCATCGAAGCCCCCAATGGCACCGCCCGCATGCGTCCCACACAGCCAATTTGGCAATTCCCCCCACCCAAGGCAGCGTTTCGTGGCCCCACAAGGAGCTCCACCGAAGGCGCTTGTGGGACCGTCTGCAAGCGTCCCGAAACGCCGAATTTGGCATTTTCACACACCCAATACAACGCTTCGTGGCCCCATGGGGAGCTCCACCGAAGGTCCCAGTGCTACCGTCCGCATGCGTCCCACACGCCGAATTTGGCAATTTCCCACACCCAGTACAGCGCTTCGTGGCCCCATAGGGAGCTCCACCGAAGCCCCCACTGGGACCGTCCGCGTGCGTCCCGAAAAAAACCCAATTTTGGCATTTTAATCCACCCAGTACAGCGCTTCGTGGCCCCATAGGGACCTCCACCGAAGCCCCAGCGGGACTGCCCGCATTCGCTCCGAAAGCCGAATTTGGCATTTCCATACACACACAGCACAGCGTGTCGTGGCCCCATATGGAGCTCCACCGACGGCCCGCGTGCTACCGTTCGCATGTGTGCCCCCCCCACAACCAGCGCAGAGCTTCGTGGCCCCATAGGGAGCTTCACCGAAGAAGATATTCACAATCGCGGCACCCACAACTGCATATAGTCGGGTCCTTCGCCAGGATAACTTCATTCGGCGTGTCGACCTTGGGCGGAAAGGGGGGCGGAGGGGAGGGAGGTCTGGCCCCGGACCTCTGCCTAGTGCCACTGCCTGCAAGAGTGCTGCCTCAGGGGGAGACTCCACACGCCCGAAGCAGGCGCCAAAAAAACAGCCAAGATCTGCTCCATGGGGGGAGGGAGGGGGAGGGAGGGGTGCGAGAGCCCGCGCCGATCGGCAAAGCAGTGAATCAAAAAACGATCACACGCCGCCTGGCAACGTTACCCAACTCGCCTGGCGGCTTGCCCAGCGTTTCCCGCTTCGCCGGGCAGCCTTTGCAATTCCGCCTGGCAACTTTTTCGATCTCGCCCCCCCCCGGCACTCCTGGCACTCCGCGCCCTTGGGGAAATCAAGAGGTTACACATACCGCCACTCCCAGGACCTCTCCCGGGGTGCGTTCTGACCAGAATTTCGAGGCGAATCCAGCGGTGTTGACGAGGACCTCCCAGGAGGCTGAAAAAGGGGAAAACCGCCGAAGGGTAGAGGTATGGGTACTCCGAGTTTCTGAATAAGCGTCGGGGTGGCGTCACCCCCGCCGACAGCCCCGCATCGACCCCCGTCGCGGGCAGCCACCGCGCGCCGAAGGCGCTCCAACCCCCGTCGCGGCGCGACGGCGAGGCGAGGTGGACCCCCGTCGGGGGGGTACCCGGGTACCCCCCCATGCTTAGAACGCGTTTCTTTATTTTCGGCGATAATGGGCATTATAGGTGGGGTATAATGTAACGCCTCCTCCCCGCCGTGCGCACGGCGGCAGTGCCCAGAGCGCACTGGGGGTGGGGAGGGGCGTTACGTTATAGGGGGGGAGAGGGGGCCTGGGGCTATCAAGCAATAAAGAAACACGCTCCTGCCACCGCATCGATCGTTCAACCTTGAAGGATCGCGGCATTCCGATATGGCCGATCTGTCGACATTGGCTGATTCTGGGCCACTGGCGGCGTTGAAGCTTGAACGCAAGAGTTGGCGTCGGCGCCGCGTCAACGCGGCGCCAACCTGCGCATCTGCCTGCCCACGACGTAACTCATGTGCGACCGTAGAAGTACTGCCCGGCTTCCAGAGGCGGCGGGCCAAGTCTTCGGAAGCAGAGCAGCGTGGCGCACCGTGGTTGCGTGTACCAGTCCATCGTAGACACCATAGGTGGCATGGTGCTCTTCTCTGAGGGCGTCGCCAGATGTGATCAACTGCATCGGCAAGCAGGGGCCCGTGTCCCCGAGTTTTCACGTGCCTCCTTGGGGCGCCTTCACGAAACGTGCGTGGGAGTCGTCTGCGGGAGGAAAATTCACTGTCCACATGCTCGAATACGTGCACTTGCTCGCGCACATAAGCAAATATCCACCGGTGTAGCCCACGTGATTCTCTCGGCCTTGATTTGCGTTAACACTGATGGGCAACAATCGGGTGAATGCGGCATGCTGGCGCATCAAGCCGGCGGATGTAGCATGGAAAGGCCGCAGGATGAGCTTCTGGAGCGCAACCTTCGTTTTTCCTCCAGGGCGTGCGTGTCTACGCTGCATGGTGCCGGCGCCTGGCAGACGGGCGCATGTCTGCCCGGACGCGGGACAATGTCCCGAGTCTGCACCTACAAGCTGCACAGTGCTGAAGGCAAGCGGACTGGTACTTGACCGCCCAACGTTCCCAAGAGAGGGAAAAAGGTGAGACGTAGCAGAGGAGAGGGAAAGGGAGACTGCGTCCACGCTCCGTCTTGGCGGTGCCAAGAGGAATGGGATTCTAAACGTGCCGAGACAAGTATCCCAGCGGGGTGAAACCGGAGAGAAGCGTTATTTGACGCCCTTGTGAATTCTTCACGAGAGGGGAAGAACACGCTGGGTGAAGGATCAGTCCGCCTCGGATCGGGAAGTCGGATCGCATCGACATGTGCGTCGGATCGGGCCGCATCGGCACGGAATCGGAATCGAATCGGACTGGCCGCGCCAGGACGCGCAGCAATGCCTCGCAAACATCGGGCCGCATCGGCTCGTCGGGACAACCTGGGACCGAGTCGCACCGAAGTGGCCGAAACCGATGTCAGGTCGGATCGATCGGATCGGCATGGGCCCTGTTGTGGGTCGTGGAAGGGGGGAGGACGAGGAGGAGGAGGAGGAGGAGGAGGAGGAGGAGGAGGAGGAGGAGGAGGAGGAGGGAGGAGCAGGAGGAGGATGAGGAGAACGGGGAGGAGGAGGAGGAGGAGGAGGAGGAGGAGGAGGAGGGGAGGGAGGAGGGAGGAGGGCGGAGGAGGAGGAGGGAGGAGGAGAGGGAGGAGGAGGAGGAGGAGGAGGAGGAGGAGGAGGAGGAGGAGGAGGAGGAGGAGGAGGAGGAGGGCTCCAGCCTGCGGCGTGGCGGCGCGGCGGCGACGGGCAGGTTGGGCCTCCGAGCGCACCTGCACATCTCCGCGGGGCGCGGCCAGCAGCGAAAACGCCATCGCGGGTGCTCTTCGGGCGCTGCTGAGTGGGGGAGGGGGGGGGGAGTGTGGTGGAATGGGGGGGAGCACTGGGGCAATCTGCTGGGGGAGGTGAAGGACAGCTCTCCCCTCCCCCACCCGCATCCTGCACGCGGGTATCTCTGGGGAGGGCTCTCCGTGGTCCTTGGAGGGGTCTGGATCTGGGGGTCTTGATCCAGGGGCCTGGATCCAGGGGCCTGGAATCTATGAGGACACTCAAAGTGGGGGAGCTATCACGGAGTGACCTCCATGAGCTTGCTGCAGACTTCGTGGGGTGACTGGACAGGCGCACACTCCGTGCAGCCTGATCTCGTCGAGATAGGAGAGGACCCCAAGGAGGTGGCAAGGGGGGCAGGAAGGGGGAGGTCTGAACACAAAAAGCCAACGGCAAACCACAAGCATGCCCGAATATTCGGCTACGTAA